GGATTACTAAAGAAAAGAGCCTGTACTTGCTTTTACATTTTTATTGCAACTGAGAAAAATTACATGGAAACCAATTTCTGGACTTAATTTTCCCAGACACATTTGATCACTTTCATTTACAGGAAGAGAATGCTTAGAAGCCCATGTGAAAAAATTGAAATCTGAAATTCAAATGGAATAATATTTTCTTTAATTCTCGCAGATAAATGTACCAATATATTGTTGTTCTTAGCTTACAATGTGACAAGTTCAAACTCTTACTATAATGCAATACAATTTGTTTGTTTCCCCCAAGTGGGTTTTCTGGCAATCTATGACAACTAATTCTTTTTATTACTTGTTGAACATTTCTTTAAATGTTCATTGTTGTTTTGAGAATTTTTAGTTAGCGGTATGTTTGTAATTACCATCAATGCTCATTCATTAGCACTTCAGATAAACCATTTCTTTACTTGTGAACTTTCCAGCCTGTGTAGTATTTTTTTTTTGTATCATTTTTAATATATTAAAAGTTTTACTGTGATACTCAAAAGACAGGGTTATGATATTAGTTATGTCTTGTTTTTAGGTCATCCATCATGTTTGAAGTACTCTCCCGAGTTAACAGCTCGCATTAAGCAAGAACCTTGGCAGTGCATTGAGTGCAAAGTGTGCTCTGTCTGCCAGGATGCTGGAAATGCTGTAAGAAAAAATTGACTTGTAGCCGTGTTGAATCCCTATGAGAATATGAAAATTGTGCTCAGCGAAGGACTGTCATTAGTGCCTGTGATGCCAATGAACATTGCAAAACATTCTGCCTATTCTCTGTGAAGCTGTCAAAAAATAAAAAAACACACTAGGTGCAGGCCTCTTGTAGAAAGATGCTTCCAGCTGTACCATTCATGGAGGTACTATGTGTATCCAACCTTTGAAATCTTCACTGTTACTGGAGAAGTAGTGAGGAAAATATGGCAGAATGCCCATAGTTTACATGCCAACTAAATAAGTAACCACCTGCATTTTTGCGTATTGTTTGTTGATTGAAATTGTAGAGGTTTTTTTTATTCTGTAGCTAGTTTTGGCAATTCTTCTGATCAAATTTATTCTCAGTATTATTTGGAATTCCAAGTTTTAGGTTTTGTAGCTATATTTCAAGTAACTATTCCTTCTAGGATGAGCTCTCTCTAAGTATCATCATTAACAGCTGGCTTAACATAGAAAAGATGAAACCCTTAAATGTGTTGTGGATGTCACTGAGACTTCTGCATGGTTGGTTGCAGGATAACCTTTTATTCTGTGATGCATGTGACAAAGGATTCCACATGGAATGTCTGTCTCCTCCAATGACTGAAACACCTACAGGTAGCAACTCTCTTCTCTGCTCTATGTTTTAAGAATCATCACACTTCAAAAGTACAGTAATTGTAAACTAATTATGCATAGCAGTAATGTCAAATACTTGTGCGGGAGTTTCAACAGAAGGGCAACTGGCTTTCACAGGTTGACAAAACTTTTTGACCTGAACATCTGTGTAAGAAAAACCTTCCCTAGATGGTCAAACCAGATGGGCGAAATCATGCATCCTCATAGCCAATCAATTTGCCAGTTGCCTGGCCCTTAATGAAATCCCTGGTGTGACTGGCATTACACCAGGGGTTTAAGGGAAGTAGAGTCCATGAGGCAGTTTAAACGCCTACTCAAAAGAGATGTATAAGGCATGACATTCGTAGAAAGCAGCTTTTTTTTTTATTTAATTACTATTTATTATTAGTTATTCAGATTTAGCTGACGAAGTTTTTACCGTGTTTAAATAAAGATTATCTATCTATCTATCTATCTATCTATCTATCTATCTATCTATCTATCTACTTCTACTGAAGGTCACAGGGAACCCATTTTGAACTTGCTTGGGATTACTGGTAATTTGGCCAATGTTCCTNTGTTCGCAGGCTAGATAATTTGAGAGTTCTTGGTGTGAGTCGCTTATTGCCATACATTTGTGTAAGACACACTCATATTATTGGTTAAGGCTTTCGCTTTTTTTTTTAATATTAATCTTTTTCATATACACCCTTTAGGAAGCTGGGTTTGCTCAGGATGTAAGGTAAAAACACCTGGTCGACGGAAGAAAGGACAGATAGAGACTCCTATCACCAGCCCGCCACGCAGAAAAATTCAACCTCAAGCAACAGCAGAAGTTCAAGGGTGAGTGCAATAATTTTAGACTCAGTAACATGTAATATTCATGAATTCAATGTGTGGCTTTTTCTATTTGTTTGGTCTGGTGTATGCTAAACAGTGACACCAATCAAACAAGGTAAACATGGAAAATATTTTCTGTAGGCAGCTGCTATCTTATAGGCAGCACAGTTTTGTAGAATAATATTTAATTTTTATATGTTATCATTAGCCAGATATGTTGGCTAAATTGTTTGACGTGTCTTTCAGGTCAAGTGTGTGTCCTACACCAGGTTGTGATGGATCAGGTCATGTCAATGGAAGATTTACATCACATAGGAGGTGCAGTAGAATTATTGTGTATTTGCAAGATCATATCTGGAAGTTATCACCTTGGTGGATAAACAGCTGTATTTACTTATCTCCAAGATACAATAGTTTATAACATTTTTAAAACTCTCAGATTTTCACAACTGACCTGCAGAGTTGAAATAGCTAAAATACAGTGAATTTTTGTCCTGAGGATTTGAGTGTTTGGGATTGCATTGTACTCTTAAGTTGTACTCCAGTTACATGTAGATGTGGTTGTGTTGCAGCCTTCCAGCTTGCCCAATTGCCAATGAGACCAAAAAGTTTGAGGAAGATTCTAAGTCTGCTGACGAAACTCCCAAGAGGCGACCTGGTAGACCACCTGCTTCCAGTAAAGCACAGCCCATGACTCCACTCTCACCCACATCACCCAGAAAACAACAGCAGCTACCCCCAGGTTAGTCACTCAAGAATACTTGATTTTGTATTAAACTCCTGGTATCAGTGTCAAATCGTCCCTAGGAAAAAATCATGGCAATAGCCCTTTTCAGGGTTACCTTTGCTCATTTGCATTACAATAAAATCTAGCATGTAGGTGAGACAATTTCAGGCTATTTTGTAGTTTTAGCCCGAAATAGCCTTGCATCCATGTTGGATTATATTGTAACGCAAATGAGAAAAATTCACTGTGAAAAGGGCTGTTGGTACAGATACCCATAATTCTTAGTGCAAGAAAACACAGACAGTGCTCATAAATATGACAGGAAAGTTCTAAAACCTTCAAACCTAGTATGCACATTGTTGTTCATACAGGGACAAATATGGCAAAAAATGGCTCTCTGTGTGTAATTGTTGTGTTGGGTTCACAAGGTATTGTGATAAAATGTACAGCCTCCATTGTTTTTCCTATGGAGGATTTTTCCTCACTGTGCATCCTACCCTCCTTGTACCCAGAGTCCTTGTTCTCCTTGACCAGAACAAACAAGTAACCCTGGAAAGTTCTGTTTAGAAATCCACAAATATCGGACATCCGGTTGAATTGCTTATGCCTAAACTGACAGAAATGCGTGACATCTGTAAGAAGGTCCATTACAATATGGTCTGCTAATATCATATTATGTAAAGTGTTACTTTGTGTGTTGACATGTAGGAGTGACTGAGGAGGATCTAGCACTGTTCAAGCAGGCTCAGGAAAAAGCTAATGCTGCTATGAATCTGGATTCATCCACCACTCTTGTGCCAAGTACTCGCTCACCCCCACTGATCCAGTTTGGTCGGTATGAGATAGTTACGTGGTACTCTTCACCGTATCCTCAAGAGTATGCCAGGTAACATATTTCTTTGAAAGTTACAGTCTCGGCATCTGCACTGTACATATGATTCAGTGAGCAATGCTTTTACTTAAAGTGAAAGGACTTAGAAATCTTCTGCATACAAAACACCTTGAGGAGAGCTCTAGGTCTTATGACCCATCAGGCTGGTGCTCATCGGCATAAAGTGACTAGCAATATATGTTATATACTGACACTTAAATTTATTGAGTGAGAGGGCTGGACCAAGAAATATTCAGCCTGAGGCCCTGGTGTGCAGACACAGTACAGCAAAGTCAATGTACATTGTGCAGTGAGATTAACACCCCCACCCCTTCTCTCTTTGCTATTGATGAACAGATTAATTGAGGATGCTGTTACAAAATTGCATGTGTATCACATGGGTGCAGTTGGTATTTTCATTTGTAAATTGCTCATGCAGTTTTATTTTCTTGATTATGCATAGTAGCATGAACTGTTTGCATGTTATCTTGCAGACTTCCCAAACTCTACCTGTGTGAGTTTTGCCTCAAGTACATGAAAAGCACCAGCATCCTGATGCGCCACATGGTAAAGTACCTATACAAAGCGACTATATTGTATTTATTTTATTTGACTTTATTGTATTTGTTTTGTTGCAGTCTTGTTCCACCTAATTCACAGTAGTTTTCTCTCTTATTTCTTGTTGTAGACAAAATGCAAATGGTTTCATCCACCGGCTAATGAAATTTACCGTAAAGGTGAAATCTCGGTATTTGAAGTGGATGGTGCAGTTAACAAGGTAAGCCCTTTGCAAAATCTTGGCTCTGCTTTTGAGTCAATGCGTGATGTATTTCAGACATTAAACGTTAATTCTTCTTGCGTTTTCTAAAGCTTATGTGCAAACCCATGTTGGAATAAATTGATTTTCTCGCCAGTTTTGATTGTACTGGCACTTTTTTTAAGCGAGTCGTTACTTGGAGAAACTAAGGCTTTTCTATTTAGTACGGTACATTATTTTGTGAACAATTCCATTTGTGTTTATATCTTAGATCTACTGTCAGAACCTTTGCCTGTTAGCCAAGCTGTTTCTTGATCACAAGACTCTGTATTACGATGTTGAGCCATTCTTGTTCTATGCTTTAACAAAGAACGATAAGAAAGGCTGTCATTTGGTGGGTTATTTCTCAAAGGTGAGGTTTTGCTCACGGTCTATATCTTTGTTGAATGTTTATTAATACGTGGGATTCTTGTGCCTGTGTAGTTGTTACTCCTTTCATTTTCCTGATTGTCGACCAAAAACTCTTTAGGACATTGATACATGTTCTGAACTTCCTGTGGGGAAAATTCAGTTTTAAGTCCTCCCTGACCGCGAGGTCACCAACTGTCAGCCGATTGTCAGCACCACTTGTGGAACGCGCGTGTTTTGATTCAAGAACTTGTTTCATTGTAGACATTAAGGTATCTAAATCTTTTTATACAGCAAGCGTTGGACGTTCATAATGAGAAGAGAAAATTTTCTTTTTCTGAGTTCCAATATGACGCATGGACATATTCCAACTGATTTTTATCCAATCATTTTCCACAGGAAAAGTCATGTCAACAGAAGTACAATGTGTCTTGTATTATGACCATGCCTCACTATCAGAGACAAGGATTTGGCCGCCTGCTCATCGACTTCAGTAAGCCTGCTTCTGTTCTTAAACTAGCCCATGTATTTTACCCTCAGTCATTATGTACCTGCTACATGTACCACCACCGAACGGTAACAGTCGGAAAATGAGAGAGCATGTGAACATTGTGAAGCAGCCGAAGAGTTTCTGGGTCTTACTGTCCAATGAGTGTGTAGTAGATAAGTTGTCGCGTGTTAGCATATCGGTGTCATGATCCCTGGTGGTTCTTAACAACCTCCGCACTAAAAAGAGCAGACTTTATCAAATCTCTGGGAGACGTTGTCCCCTTATGACCCATCTGATAAGTATAAGTAGAGTAGTGGGGGTGGTGGTGGTGGTGGGGGGGCGGGGGAGGGGTTACATGTTTGTGGTTTTCTTGTTGTCTTTGCACATTCTTCTTTCACCCTCATATCCCTGTATCCATGTCCTACATTGACGAAACCTTCTTAGAGTAAGTTACAAGTAAAATATAGTTTGAGTGTCATCCGGGTGATTTCTTAACATAATATATTCTTCCATCGAAGGTTATCTCTTGTCGAGAATTGAAGGCCAGCCTGGATCTCCTGAGAAACCCTTGTCAGACCTTGGTTTGATCAGCTATCGTAGCTACTGGAAGAGTGTTTTACTAGAGTATCTGCACGACCACAAAGAAAAACATGTAACCATTAGAGGTGAGCATTGGTGGTATTTGTAGCTTCTTAACTGCGAATAATACCTTCACTTTATTTTTTCTTTCTGATCCAGAACTGGGCTTATCTTTTTAAAAGTTATTAAAAGAACTTACTGCATGCAATACCCCCGCCACCTTGAAGATTTCCTGCTAAATGTTGTCACAAAGATAAATGATTGATAACTTCTGTTTTGCATAGGTGTGGTCATTTTTATGACTATCTTGAAAATTATTGTTTGGATATTCTAGGCTCAGCCTGATTCCGTTGAAGTTTGATTGAGGATGTTTTATTTTTCTGGTGACGGGAATTGGTAAAATGCTGCCGGGTTTACGGAAATAGGACAGAAAAAGGGAAGTCTTGTATAAGTAAGTGCATAGTAAGACCCAAAGGATCAGGATGGGGCGGCGTGAGGAAGATCTGAACAGTGAAATGCCGTTTGTTTGCAGGGATTAGTAAGTCGACTGGAATGGATCCGCATGACATTGCTGCTACACTACAGATTCTCAACATGGTTCAGAAACGGGACGGCAAGTGAGTCATAGCCATAGGTATTCTGTTAGTCTATCAGTATGACCGTACCTCAGTTTGCAAAGCAAAGAGATATCTCCTTGCCAGTCTCCAATGTTATACGAAATTTAGTCAGCCAAATATGTCGTCAAGATATTTTGTCTGGTGCTTTTTGCCGTTTACTCTCTAGAGTACCGAGGCTCAGCAAAGACAGTTTTCAAGTAGACCAATTGAAAGTAACGATCAGGGGCATTCACTTGAATGTTACACCCTCCGTCCTCAGCCGTAGACTTTAAAGTTAGAGCGATTTTAAATCAGTATGAGAGTTTAAAGTTGTTTGTCTGATCCACAGGTTTGTGCTGTGTGTTAACCAACGCCTCATCAACACACACATGGAAAAACTAAGAAAGAGCAACCGCACCTCGCTGGATCCTGACGCACTGAGATGGACCCCTCTGGTACACACCAACTTGGCGCTCATCGACAAGGAAAACGAAGCAGCCAACGGACCGCACGCCAAGAATGGTACAGAAGACACTGGTGTGGAAGACAAGGAGGTCCCAGAGGACGCCAGCGATCGACAGGTGGATGTGATTAACAGCAGTCTGGATGACAAGTCCAAAGATGGATTAATTGTGAACGGAGTTGTCGAAGATGAAGAATGTGAAAGTGCTTCCGAGGAAGATGACGAGGGACCGATTATTCGCCCGAGAAAGCGCCGACGGAGTAATACGCTTTCGGACAGCGGTTCGGACAAAACCGAGGGGAAAGAAGACGATGAAGGAGTATCCAAGAACCGGGCAAACTCAAAGAAAGAAACTGATTCCGAAACTGCGGCAAGCAAAAAGCTGAATAGCGCAGAGCCCGAACCAGAAGTCGTCAAGAAGCGAATGAAATTGAACGATGAAGAGCCGAGAGCTGATGTCAGCGACGATTCTGCAGATAATTCGGACTCCGATGATTCGTCGTCATCTTCGTCGTCGTCGTCTTCGTCATCGTCCGAAGACAGCGATAACGGAGAACCTATGGATGACAACGAAGATAATCCCGCTAGGCAAAACGAAGACGGCCAAAAAGGCTCCGAAGATGGAACGAGCGAATCGTCGTCCGAAATGAACAACTCGCCAGCGGGCGTTTATGCGGGATTCGGCAGCCAATCAGGTCCTCGAGATCCCTTAGCTGGGTTAACAGACCCAGAGATTGGAATGGATCCCGCATTCTCCAGATTGTCACCGAGTTTTGAGTGCAAGGAGAGTAACCCGTCGGATAATTTAGCAGTAGACCAAGATATGAACCCTGTGGTGGATTTCCCAGACACGGATAGCACAGCACTCATCAAAGAACTGTCTGAAGAGGTGTTCTCTATCGGGGCCACGCCCTCTCTTGGAGGGCAGCACTCTTCAGACGAAGAGATTTGAGCAGACCTTTTATTTTGATGTGCTCTTTTAGTGATTGATTCCTCGTCTTTTTGTCAAACACACGATTGATGTAAATTCTCCTTTTTTGTTGGTTTTAGTTATCACATCAACTTGGATAAGACAGCAGTTCTTTCTTCAAGAAGGCGATTGATTGTTAAAATCCACGGAAACTGCAATGTAACCTTACGGGAAGTTTCACAAAGTGACATGTTATGTTCTGAAACTTTAAACTACCAATTCAACCACATGTTGACCGAGAAAGATTTAACTCTCTTTAAAGGAGCTACGTCACAGTTACCCACCTTAAAAAGTTCAGCCTAATTTTTTCAAATTCGTCGTTTGTAATCCGTGTGAATCAATCCTTTACCATCCTTGTTTCTAAACGTTGTATCATTATCTCTATGGTATTTTTCAATCTTAGTAAACTACTATTTTCAGGTTTTCTTCTATTTAGAGGGTATTTTGGTCTTGGCCAAAATACCGTGACTGAGGTCCTTTAAATTGGAAAAGATTGACTTTTTACCCCCCTCCCTCCGCCGCCTTCATGTCAGGGCTACTCCTTCCGCGCGTTATTTGAATGACTCGTGATCGCTACTGAGGCAGTTTTCGATGGATTTGAGAATCTATTATATACAGTGGCAGTGCGGCCATGAATCTCAGCGTGTTTTGTAAGATTTCAAAGCGCGAAAATGAAGCTATTCTGTGCGCACAAGCTGTGAGAACAGTTTATTTTGTGAGGAAATAGTGAAAGAATGAAAGAAAAATTTTCAACCGCGCTCTCGAATTTTCTGTCAACATCGGAGACGTTCGTCCATTTGACCGGATACGAGATCAACCTCGTTCTTGGGCCCTGTTCATGGTTGTACCGTGGTAAGATTCTCGCCTTCCAATCCAGTGTTCTGAAGTTTGAACTCGGGGCCTGCCTGTGTTTTCGGCCCTTATTTTCGTTTTTTTTTTTCTTTTTCTGAAAATTTCTTTCAGGTTGGATCAGCAAATAATTTGGACAAATAAAGAATGATGCTATCTCGCAAAATCGACCTCAAGCTGCACCCAATCACGTAGTTCGTAAAAATTGCATGAGTTGAACTATTAAATATTTCCCGCAGCTAAACGTATTTAGTTGGTCATCAAAACACCCACTTAACGTGGTTCCATAGGGTAATCATTTATGGTGTTGCGAGCGCAAGCCTTCTGTTTTGCATTCGTTTTTACACCCAGTCCTCTCAAACTTATTACATGTAATAAGCAATGATTATATAGCTTTTTACTATCATCCTCTGTTAAAATTTTGGGTTGAACAAAAAAATGTGTTTTTTACTTTATTATGGTCGTATTTCTAATGTTCTTGAATTTCCGGTGAAATCTTCCAACATTTTCATAGCATATCGCATCCTGCGGGATACGAAAAAGGTAGGGTTTGTACAGGCAGTTTTTTCGATTTTTAAAACTTTATGTCTTACCGCTGCAAAAAAACTGGTGTCATAGATTCCCGTGAAAAACGAGCTCCGACTAAAGTAAAATATTTCCTACCAGTCTGCCAAATTTTACGGAATTTTACCGAAGGAAACGCGAAAAAATTCACTATCAGTTATGCTTTTTGTGCTCATGTTGAGGTCATAAAATATCGAAAAACACTGACGTTTTCCTTCGAGCACGCAGATTACTTGTGCTTTCGTCCTCATTACGCGTGCGATCGAGAAGCTTTCGTCTATTAGAACATGTCGGGCAACCTCCTGGTCCTGGAAACAGTCGCACAATAAATTTTTCTTCCCTAGCTTTAGACAGATAAGTTGAAGTCGAGGGTTCAAATTCAAAATAAGTAAATCCATCGGCGGATATCGCCGTTTCAAGTATTCTCTTGTAGGGTGCACGAAAAGCTGTTTGGAAATGAAGTGCTTCAAAATGCGGAAAATCCAGAAGTAAAAAGTATCTCGGAGGCTTTTTCTCTCGTTAGTTAACTTACAATGAGGAACGATATTTGTCTTCCTTCAATTTTTTATCATTACTTTTGTTACTAGTACAAGTGTCACCAAAAGTCAATAAACTGCCTCGTTTGTCTGCATTGCGGACCTATTTTTGTAGACGCTGAGCATCGGCTAGCTGGATCGGCTAGCTTTCATTCCGGCTTGCTTGCGGTCGTCTTACACTCATTACACGCATTACAAGTTCATTTTTTTGGTTAGGGCAATGCTATATATATTTACTTTACATATATATGGGCCGGATATGGGTTATTGACCGGGCGTGAGGTCAACATGGCTGAATATTGGCCAAGTTCTTTTTTTTGCGTGTTTCTGCACCGAGACGGAGTTGAGGTCCACAACCTGCAAAAAAGAAAGAAAAAAAGAACAAGGCCAATCTCCAGCCATCATGATAGAAACAACCTTGGAAAACAAAGGATTTAGTATATGAAAAAAGAATATTATTTACTTGTGGGACACAGCGGGTAATCCCAAGCGGGCAAGATAGCGCCATTTTGTCCGCTCGGGTAGCCAATCACAGTGGAGGATTCGGTTCATCTTGCCCTCTCACGGAGCTAGCCATATACAAAGCATAAATATTACACATCCTTGCAGCTACAGCAGTTAAATTGTGCGCGCGCGCGATATACGACACCTAAGGCGACGCGCGCTTCTGCAACAAATTTTGCACGCGCAACATTGCGCATGTTTTTTACACGTCTCTTATTTAAGCTGTTTTTACGTCCAATTACTATACTTTGTAGCCTTAAGAGTACTATTTCA